ATTTAGCTTTTGCGCTACATAAGTTCTTATGAACAGTAGCAAGACACTCCAGAAGAATCTAAAGAGTAGGCTCTGATATGAAGTTTAAAGAAACCAGTCAGAAGATCTGAAGACAAAAGTTTCAACTTAAGTCTAGATGCTAAAGACTCATGTTTCTGAACACAGCGTGTTATAAAGAAACAAGTCAAAAGATCTGAAGACAGAAGTCTCTACTTAAGTCTAGATACTGAAGACTAATGTTTCTAAATACAAAGGGTTCACAAGACCAAGTGCTAAAGATTCTGATGGACGAAGTTATAAAGACTCTGAAGACTTGAAGTTCTAAAGACCCATGGTTCTAAGAAAAGGGTTCTAAAGACCAAGTGTTAAAGACTCTGAAGACAAAAGTTCTAAAGACCCTAAATAATCTAAAGACTTGAAGTTCTGAAGACTCAAGGTTCTAAAAAAAGTTTCACATGACCAAGTGCTCAAGACTCTGAAGACACAGTTCTGAAGACTTAAAGTTATGATGACCTTGTGTTATGTTCTCGCTTCTAAATTCATGCTCGCAGAAGCCTCTAAAGTGTAGAAGGAAAGAAAATAATGTTAATATGGTATAAATAGTACATGGTATAATCGATGTTTCATTCCACTATCATTAAAGGACAGAGGCATTGCACAATCTTGTCCCCCACGTGATTGCTCAAGCTGCCAATGTTTATGGAAATCCCAGGAGTATCCCTCAACGGATTTATTATTTTATTGGATATATAAAGACTTGAAGACTAAGAGAGAAAGCAGTAACTTTTTACTGAATATCAACATACAAGCGTTGTTCATGGCTTTCATATTATTAAGTCATTGTTCTTAAAATAGTTTATATATTCAACTTGTGTAGAAACAATATTATTGTAAACATAACTTGTATTCAAACAGTTGTTTGATTTCCTTAAGAGACCGATTAGGTAATTATTCTTGAGAAGTCTAGAACTAGTGTGTCTTAGAGATTTGATTTTCCTTAAGTGATCGGTTAGGTCTGTATCCTTAAGAAGTCTAGGACTTGTGTGTCTTAGAGGTTGTTAGTCACTTGCGGGTAGCTTGTTGTTGTACCCTAAAATTTACCCTCTTCATTTCAACCTTTTTGGCTTATATTTCATCATTACATGCATGCATATCATTGGTTCTATGGTTATGATATCAAGTTATCTCTAGCAAGCCTCGTCAGATTATAGTGACATTTATTTCGTCAATGGATGTTCTCAGAGTATTTTTCGTGTTGAAGATCGGTTTGCCGTTTCGTAATGATTCAGGATTCAAAGATTCACAAGTTCAAACCGACGCGTCATATTCAAGTGTTCTTTCTCCAAGATATCCCTGGTGACGTATTCTCAAATTCAGGTTCGGCTCAAGAGTCAATACTTTAAAAAAGGACTCAGAATATGCAAGTTTTCTCGAAGAAATATGGTGAAAAAGTATGCTGAAAGTGCAGTTTTTACGCACTAAAAAATTCATAACTTGAAGACCGTGGCTCGGTTTAAACCCGTTCTGATGGCCAAAATTTCATCTTGATGTCATCTACGTTTTCATATCTCACAGACGAAAGCCAATTTCATTCAGAAAGTCTCTGAAAATATGGATTTATCAAGTGTTTTCGCACAGGAAAATTGTAACATATGTTTATTTGCTCCGTATTCAAAAAATCATAACTCAGTCAATTTTTATCTGATCGGACCCATATTTTTACATAAGGTCACTGACTCAGATATATACAACTTTACTTCTAAAGTCGAGACCATATTCTGCTCCGATCAATATCAGTTTTTTATTGAAGAATGGGCCAGAGTTGACACTGGAATCCAAAATAAGTTTGTCTGAGGCAAAACTTCAAAAATTCATAACTAATTCATTGTTTATCCGATTGAGCCTATTTTTGGACAGAAGTTTGTTCTCGATGTAGAATACATTTTTATTTCACATTTCAACTTCAAAAATTACACTGAGGTCCCTGCGATTTAGTCTGGAACGTGTCATACTCAAGTGAATAAAAATTCGCACTATTGCTTATGGTTATTGGAGGCCCAATTGCACATCCAAAGCCCATATATTTGCTCTAATTTATATTATATAATCTAATTCTTTTCACACAAACAAGGACACACAAAAAACCCTTGCTATAACCTCACTTCCAAGAACTCAGTAGGGTAAGACTGATTCGATCTCCATGATCAAAAGGATGTAGAAGCATTCATACATGCCATATTGTTTTTAACATTACAAAATTTTATATATTTTTTTCTTTGTATTTTATGGTATACTAATTTGTTTAATGTGTTTTTGAGATTTAACACTACGGGTTTGGACCATCGTAATGGTCTCATGCAAGTTTATTACAAAACATGTTGAGGCCAGATCCAAACACCAAGGCATGCTTGGCCTGGTGGTGAGCATGTTGCTGGAAAATACTGATATTCTTTTGGGTTATTTTTTGTTTCAATTCTATGTTTCTCACTCTTTTCCTCATTTTTCCCTATTGTCACACATAATCAAAACCTTTTTCATAAAACCTAACATTTTTCGCAAATCTTTTATTTTTCATAATAAATTCAAATAATTAATTTTAGGTTTTAATTTAATTTTAGGTTTTAATTTAATTTTAGGTTTTTAATTTAATTTTAGGTTTTAATTTAATTTTAGGTTCAACATCCACTCCGGCATTTTCATTGTTTGTTTTTGGTTTCTAACCAATTTGTCTTTTTCAATCCTAAAGTCACTTAACCACAAAACTTTTTTCACAAACTTTTTCTTTTACAAAAAACAGCTAATTTAATCTTTAGGTTAATTAATTTTAAGTTTTTTAATTTTTTTCAAAATTAGCCTTTTTTTAATTCAAATTAATTAGGTTTTAGGTTTTTAATTAACTTTTTTTTCAAAATTAACTTTTTTTTAATTAAAATTAATTAGGTTTTTTTTAGGTTTATTTAATTAATTATCATAAATTAGTTTTTTCATAAAAAATCACCAAAACATTTTCCTTTCTATTTTCATCTTATTTTTATTTTCCTAGATAAAGTGTATAGGGTGCGTTCAACTGTAATATCGTAGTTTTATTTTTCCGTATTTTTCTATCATGTAACTGCTCCTAGTATGCAATAGTTGTAGGTTTTTATTTTTCGCACTTCACTATTATGTAACTGCCCCAAAGCTCTATAATAGCCTAGGTTTACATTTTCGCCTTTACCTTCAGCTACTATATTTTATGCAATGCTTAGATTAATAGGATTGTATGGAAAGATAAAAATGAACAATAGCTAACCCTAATTGCAAGATAAATGAATTGAATCAAGCAAACTTTGCATATTTCACTTCTAAGGTAACCTCTCTCGTTGCCTCGGAAAAACAATGGTCATGTCCCTCGAACATAGGGATACCATTAGAAAAAACCCTTAATTACAAATCATCATAAAGATCATAGTCCCTTGATGTCCCTCAAAGTTGCATACGGTATATGATTATGTCCATCGATGTTGCCTACGAATATATATGATGACAGCCTCTTCAAATTGCTAAAGGTATCCCTACATGTTTCCTTCAATGAGCATAACGAAGACCCTACGCTTGTCCCTCGAACATCTAAAGATAGGGCTTTTTGCTAACTAATGGTATGGATAGCACTATCTAAAGGAGGAGAAAAAATACAAGAAAGACCTTGAGTGTGTAGTTACTGTTAATTGTTTGCTCACAATTTAAAACATTTTTTCACACCTCACACTTTCAAAAATATTTTCAAAACGCTTTATCAACACTCTTGAGGACTAATACAAGAGTTATCATAAAGCAAATTGTCTTGCTATTTGGTATTTCAAAACTTTTGTAAAAGCACAAACACAAAACAAATAAAGTAAGCAACCGATTAAGAGTCTGTAGATAACTACGGATGAAAATGGTGCTAACACCTTCCCTTTTCATAACTTACCCCCGAATTCAAAATCTATCAAAGGTCTTTCCTGTTCTTTTCATCTTTCCTTATTGGATAAAAGAAAAGTCGGTGGCGACTCTTCCTATCCGCAACAATTGCGATAAAACGCAAAACAAACAAGTCAGTTCTCTCATCTATTACACTTGTGTATTGTAATAATCAGTTAGATTATTAGATTAAATCTTCGATTGAGAGAGACGAAATCGACTTGGCGGATAGACTAGACTAACTTGATAATTTTCAAGTGAATTAGTATAAATATACTTTGTTTATTTACTTCATGTTTTAAATTATTGTTATTATCAAGAGTGAAAGAAAAAATATTTTAAATAAAAAGAAATATTTTTAAAAAGAAAAATTTTGATTTAAAACTCAATTCAAATCTTTCCTTTCTAGTGTGTTGTTTGATTGAATTTGAGGGCATAGAGTTGTTTGTTTTGTATTGGTTTTGTATGCATTGTATTTGTACAGTGTGATATCCCTCATCATATCTTATGCTGGATATAATATAATTGCTTTGACATTTGTGAACTTCAACATTTATAAAGTATAGTAACTTTAAATGTTAACATCCGTTAAAAAAACATGTTTGTGTGATATCAAACACCTACACTAATATTTATAATTTATTTATTTATTTTTTTAAATTATTATAGGTGGCGTTATTAGGTGAAGTGTGGTGTTAGTCTAACACCTAATTTATAAAGTGTACTAAAATTGACATTTCAATGACATCCTCAAATCTATGCCAGAATTGGTCAATAGCTAAATTTCAGCTAATGTTATAAACCATGTTTAGAAGTTATGTACAATACCACTATTTTCATAGTAAACAATTCCCAACTTTTTTCCGTTTAACATGGGAGATTGATTTTTCTGGTAAAATTAATTCAATGCATGTGTATATATAGACTCAAAATCAGAGATGAAGAAGGTAGAGCTATCCCTACAGGGAAGTTGAAAAAAAACTATACAAAAAAAAGAAAAAAAAATAGTGTATATAGTTTCATAGAAAAATTAATACTAGTAGGATTTTGATAGAAAAATGGAAGGAATGCGTGATAATATCAACGGTAGTCGTAACGAGAAGAAAAGATTTGCACTTGTTGGTGTCTTTTACATTCTTCTTATCGTTGTGGTCCACACCGATGCGACGCGCGGAGGCCTTGATGAACCAGGAGAACTTGAAATTCTTTGTCAATCAAACCCGGATATATGTAACCCCACGACACTCGGAACACTCGGAAGAGTGTTTAGCGGAACAAGTAACACAAAAGATGGTATAAAAAAAGCGTTCATTGCAGCAGCCGAGGAGTTATCGAAACACACAAACAATCCATCTCTTTTTACTGAATTGGTAAAAGACAACATGACGAGACAAGCGATGCGAATTTGCAACGAAGTAATGGATAATGCTATTGATGGAGTTAATAAATCTGTTGGGGAATTAGACAGATGTGATTCCAATAGCTTGAGTGAGATTGTTTTTGATCTTAAAGTTTTGATAACTGCTACACTTACAGATCAACAAACATGTTTGGATAGTTTCGAGAAAGTAGACACAAAAGCTAGTCAGAGAATGGCTCAGGTTTTGAGCGCTTCTATGAAATTAAGCAACGCTGCTATCGACATGCTTAACTCACTTTCTGGATTGAATAAGGATTTTGGCCAAGTCCCAAGTGGTGGTTTTAATAGGAAGACTTTACCCGATGAGTCAACAGCGCGTGTTGATGGTGTTCCAACATGGGTTAGCGAACGACAGCAGCGACTTCTTGCTGAAACAACAGTTAAGCCAAATGTTGTTGTGGCGCAAGACGGTAGTGGAGAGTTTAAAACCGTTGCTGAAGCTCTTAAGACTGTTCCGGCGAATAATGCAAAACCTTTTGTTATTCATGTTAAAGCTGGTGTTTATAAAGAGGTTGTTAATATTCCTATGGAGATGAATTATGTTACCATCATCGGTGATGGTCCTACAAAAACTAAATTCACGGGTAGCCTCAACTTCGTTGATGGCGTCCTAATTTACCACAGTGCAACCGTCGGTGAGAACAATATTTATTTTTTTATCTTTGAATGAAGTGGTAATAATTAATAGTCATTAAAAACTCACACACAACGGTGAACATCAGGGTTAAAAAACTCTGGTGATGGTGTTCAATCTAGTAATTTTTTTTTTAGTTAAGCTAAAAGCAAAAGTATTGTATATTTATTTGATTAAGTTGTATATGTATGGCAGCTGTGAATGGTGCAAACTTTGTGGCAAAGGATATAGGCATTGAAAACACAGCAGGACCGAGTAAAAAGCAAGCAGTAGCACTAAGAGTTTCAGGAGACATGGCAGTATTCTACAACTGTCAAATAGATGGTTACCAAGACACACTCTTTGCCCAATCCCTACGCCAATACTTTCGCGATTGTATCATCTCGGGTACAGTCGACTTTATATTCGGCGACCCCTTTGGAGTTTTCCAAAACTGCAAAATTATAGTTAGAAAACCATTAACAGACCAAGCCAATTTAGTAATAGCTGGTGGAAGACTCACATCGAGCAGCTCAGCTGCACTTGTTTTCCAAAGTTGTCACTTCACAGGTGAACCTGGATTAGAATCAATTTCACCCAAAGTATCTTTCCTAGGAAGGCCATGGAAAGCATACTCCAAAGTTGTGATAATGGATTCAGTCATAGATGATATCTTTCTCCCGGAAGGTTACCATGCATGGATGGGAAATGCATTTACGGATACATGTACATTTTACGAGTATAATAACAAAGGTCCTGGCGCTGACACAAAAGCAAGAGTGAAATGGCCTAATGTTAAAACTATAACTGCTGCTGAGGCTGCTGCTTTTTACCCTGGTAAATTCTATGAGGGTTCACCCTGGATGACGAGTTCTGGGGTACCTTGTTCCCTTGGTCCTATGAGCGGTGTTTCTGCTGGTTTTGCAGCTTCGTCTTCTCCAATTTCAGCTTCTGGACCTTCTTCAGCTTCTGGACCTTCTTCGTCTACTTAATCTTCTAAGGCTTCGCCTTCTAAGGAGTCTTGAGTTTGGTTAACAAAGTTAAAGTTAAGAGCGGCATTAATTAGTGAGTCCCTTAATTTAGATATTGAAATGAAATAAATCAAAACTATAGCAATAAAGTAAAATAATATAGATGAAGGAAAGAATCTGTGAATATACTTTTGGGATTCTTACACTTATGATTTTATCTCTGTAGTAATAATTTAGTCTTGTTCAGATTTTATTGGAACCATCGTAAAATGTACATTTGTATATGATAGAGATAGTTTGCATAAGTGTTATTGCTGAGTTGTACAACTTTATGTTAGCTTTTTGTTACAGATCACTCTCTATATAATGAGAGTTCATTGTATCTCTTTCCTGACGAAAAATACAATGAGAATATTCTAAATGATTTCTCTAACAGTACTATGCAATTTTGTCATGGTATTTAGAGTTTTTTTTTCTCGGTCCAGTAGATCGCTTTTATGGATCCTCTGTTTCCATCGTCGCATGTCAAGTTTTCACATTTTATCTCTGTCAAGTTTGATGACAAGAACTTCAAGCAGTGGAAGAAACAAATTGATGGTGTAGTTCGCGGCCACAAACTGTAGCGATTTGTCACCGTGTCGGCAATTCCTCAACAGTTTTTACCTGATTCCAATTCTGCACTTAATGGTGCTAACTCTGTGTATCTTGATTGGGAGCAACAAGATACGTTTATTTATACATGACTTCTATCCACCATCTCTGATTCGCATCTTCCTAAGCTAGTTGATTGCGAGCACTCCTGGCAGGTGTGGATTGAAGTTCATCGTTACTTCAACACTCTTCTCTCCACTAAAGCGCGCCAGCTCCGATCGGAGTTGCGTCATCTCACGAAAGGATCCCTTACGATTGAGGAATTCATGGTTCGTGTTTGCGAAATTAGTGAATCATTGATTTCGGTTGGAGATCGTGTTCCTCTTTGTAACCTAATTGAAATTGTACTCAATGCGCTTCCTGAGGAATACGACTCCATTGTTAAAGGTGCGAAAAACACAAGAAAGGGGGGAGTTGAATTGGGTTGCACCAAATATAATCTTTTCACAACACAAAACACAAAGATAACAAGTGAATAAAAATAGATGAACACAATTATTTTTATACTGGTTCATTGTTAACTAAGTTACTCTAGTCCACTCCGCAAGGTGATTTGTCTTATACACAAGGACTTAATCCACTATAATCAACCAGTTTATAGACAACCATAATAAGTCTGATCAACCTTGTCGGAGCCCCCAATAAATTTGTTGATCCTTATTACAAACCACTATGACCACAACCAAAGTCTTCTTGAGAATCCAGACTACACGGAGTCTCTCAAGGAATCTATCAAAAACAGATGATTACAAAGATGTGTATACAAAGATGCTTCTACACAAGCAAATTACACAATTTTTAAGTACAGTAACACAAAATTATTGATAGTAAGATACGAGCAACAACTCATTGCTTATTTACAAAACTATGCAAAAGAATTCTCTACAGAGTTTTTGTGCAGTGGTTTAGTGTAGTTTTGTTGAACTGATTCGTTGATTTCAAATTCCTCCAAGTACTTCTTTTATAGCTGAAAAGAAGAGATCAATTGGAGGGTAGAATAGGAAACACAAATACAATTGTATTGTTCCTAATGGTCATGGTGAGACGGGTAGATAATACTACAAAAAGGTTTGTCCTTGCGCCACTCTAGAGAGTAGAGGTCACATTGTACTTTTGTACTTTTATACTCACCATCACACGCAATCTCTTAGTCTTGATCTTCGTCTTCTATGTCTTCAAAGGCTTCTGATATGTTTGTTGATGAAGCATGTTGTAGAAGGATCAAAACTGTGTATCTTCAGAACATAAGTCATTAGAACCTTATAGGACTTGTTCAGAGAACTCTCGCCTTCTCGGTCTTTAGCACTTGGTCTTTATAAGAATGTCTTCAGATCTTCAGAACTCGTTCAGTAGAACCTTGTCTTCGGAATCTTCAGAACTTGGAACATCATAAGTAAAGCTTTAGAAGATCTCCAAAGCTTCCTTGAGTAAGTCGCAATCAAAAGCTCTTTTACTAACATTACTTAGAACCGTTGCATAAGATGCATTCCTTAATCTTGACTTAACTTGTAACACACCAAAGGTATTCTTCCAGAGTGTTGAATTCAGAACATGATGACGTCACACACCTTCTTACCAGAGTCAGGATCTGTATAGCAAAAGTCACACACTAGACAGGAACTTGTTAGAGTACACAATTGTTCTCAAAGATAACATGTAAAGTTATCATCAAAACATAAAGTCAGATGTAGAACCAACTTTGTTCTTAAAATTGTTGTCGTTGTGAATAGGAAATAAGATCTAGATTCTCTTGATGAACTAGAGTCATGTCTCCTTGCCTATGAATCACGATTGGAGAAGCATCGGAAAGTCGTTCTCGCAGAGCCGGTGTCGATGAATTTGACGTAGGTTACGCACTCATCCTCTCCGGTCATCACTAAACAGTTTGCCATTGATATTGAGTCATTTCCTCAAGGTACTAGTCATGTCACTTCTAACACTGAGAATCATCGCTACAATTCACGAGGTGGGCGATTTGGTTGTGGCGGTGGCCGCTATGGCATTGGAGGAGGTCGTTTTTGCAAAACGCAATTTTAGATTTGTCAAAAATTTGGACATGATGCGTCCATATGTCATCATCGATATTTGAACTCCAATGTTTCCATGTTTTCTCATCAAAGAGCTTTCTTCAATCCTTTCATGATGACTGCACGACATGTGTATCAACCTTCTTTTCGATATGCAGCTCCAAGAGCTACTCCTCCTAGATCTCCTTAGCCTCAGTTTCTTATAGGTTCAAATCCTAATTTCAAAAATTAATGGTGGTATCCAGACTCAGGTGCGTCTCACCATGTTCCTCCTAATGCTTAAAATTTGTCTGACTTTATCTCAATGCCTAGATTTGAGCAAGTGTTTATGGGAAAGGACCAAGGTTTGTCAATCAACTTTGTAGGCTCTATGCAATTTCCTTTTACCAACTTATCCTAACATGTCTCTCACCTTACACAATCTTTTGCTTGTGCCTCATATCACCAAAAACTTTATGAGTGTTAGTAAACTTACTTAGGATAATCATGTTTTCTTTGAGTTTCACCCTCAATTTTGTCTTTTCAAATCACAGGCTTCATCTGAAGTTCTTATTCATGGTTTGGTTGGAGCTGACGGCCTCTACAAATTTCCCACTCCTACTTCTCAATTGTCCAAGTCTTTTCCCAGCCTTAATACATGTGTTTCTTTGTCTTCTAACAATTGTAATCGTAGCTGTTGTACCCCAAAATTTGCCCTCTCATTTCTCAAGAATCCCCCCCCCCCAAATCTCTCATAACATCAAGTTGGCAGCACTGATACATCAATTTAGAGTTGGAATGGGCACAAGGGAAAAATGGTCAATTGCACACTGAAAAGTCAAACTTTGACTTTTGGATCAAAATAAAGTTTCAAGAATCATATTTCATCCAGATATGTCAAAATATGAGTTTATTTCATTAAGAAAATCAAAAGTCAAATTTGCTTTGGAAAAGTCAAAATTCTAAATACTTGGAAATTTTTCTAAGTGTTTAGGAAAGATGATAAATTTAGAACTTATGGCCATATTTTCACCATGATACAAGTTGATTCTAGAAGAACTTATGACATAAGAGTTGTAGATCTCAATGAGATCAAAAACATTGCAGAGTAGAACTTCTCCTAGAAATGATGGGATTTCAAGTTATACATCTTCAAAGACACGTCCATGAAACTGAAGCACTCAGTAAATTCTGGATATTTCCAAGACAGATTTTAGTTAGAACTTCTGGGTCAATTTTCATGTAGGTCCAGTCATAATTTTCAAGAGTAATTCAAAGAGGATTTACAAAGCGTGTTACAAGCTTTCTGGAAAGTCTGAGAACTCCTCCAGAACATGCTGGAGCAAAGAGATTCAAAGATCAGAAGTTGGATGTTTATTCTAAGTTACGCTGATGCTGAACTTCTGACCCAGAATTAAGCTATGATGCATAATCTCATATTGTAGGATTTATGGTTTGATAAATCTCATCATCATTTAATGCTCACACCCACTTTTGAGTCTTTATCCAAAGGATTTCCCCACGTGTGACATGGAAGTATCATTGTTGTCCTTGAAAAAAAACTTTTGTAGAAGTTTATGCTGGGCCCATGCTTTGCTTTTGCTTCTGAGGGTACTTTTCCTTAATACATGCTTACAAATCCAGCGTAGGCGCGGCTAAAAGCTGCTAACCGCCTTACTTTTGTCTTGAACCATACTTGTTTGAACTTGCTTCAAGAACAAGTCAGCGCCTAGTGAATGATGGTTGTACTTTTGACTTCTCCAAACTAATAAATCCTTGCCTATAAATTGAACTTCATTTGCAATTGTAAAGAGGTCGAAAAATTGAAAATAAAAAGCCTTGAAACCTTGCTAAAATTCCAAGAATCCGAAACTGCAAACACAAATACAAAACCTGCTAGTTTCTAATTTTTGATTTCAAACTCCAATTTTCCTCAAGTATTTCTTGACCAAATTATCAACACAGTTTCTGATATACACTTAGAAGTCGTCCCAACTTCTGTTCTCAGACTGTAACACAGTCTTCATCAATCTCTACCTCAAAAATTAGAACCTCGCTTCTTGGCTATTCCAGAATTTTTTCAGCTATTCGTAGCTCAAGTTAAATATTTTTCCAGCCTTCTGAACATGTGAGAAAGCTGACCAGAACATCACAGCAGTCAGAACCAGGCTTTAGCTCACAGAACATTTTCCAGCTGCAAGGTAAGCTTCTGCTGACTCTCATCATATTACTTAAGCATTGTTAGACTTGCATATCCAAAAATACAATGTAGACATCTTGACTCTGATGTGGTACATATTCTGAGATTTCATGTATTTTTTGCCTAAATAGAGAAAATTCCAGTTCATAACTTCTTGAGGAAAT